ATGAGTAAAATGATTAATTTGAATTTCATTCCTCATTCAGCATATCAAAGTTTTAGTAATTAATACTCTATAATCCAATTAACTCTTTGATACATAAGCTATGACGAACATTAATTAGGAAAATAATTATTCATAATAATATTCATAATGTTTTCCTCTCCAATCCAACACATTTCAAATCTTAATATGAACGAGAAGTTTTTCATTTTTCTTAAGCCAAAAAAACTTTAACCAATCAGTTTCCTTATTTCTAAATAGATGGCAGAAAAAATATTCATATTCATGCTCATATAACTTAATAAAACAGTGTATTAATTTATATTAATACATCATAGAAACCTTTTAAATTAAATTTTAACAATATTTTTTTATTGCCAATTATTTGGAGAAATGCTTCAATTATTTTTTAACAATATGTATCTATAGATGAAAACAATTATGAGAACTATGATATGATTATATTTAACAAACCTAATTAAAATTGATTTATTTCATAACAGATATTTGATATACTGAATATTTTTCTTTCAAAAGATTGTAGGTATTAATAATTTTAGAAAACCTTTTTTATTTGTTTTTTGTGCTTAATGTATAATTGTATTTTTAAGAGCTTAGCATAAAAATTATATAATCCAGATTTATTCTTTTCAAAATTTTTTATATTGATTATTATTTTCAGATGTATGGCAGAAGAATTAAATACCAATTTTATCGCTGAGTTTGATTGATAAGAAATGAATTTTTGGTTCAGCGTAAATCTAAATGATTGGAATTTTAATTTCTAAATGATTATAAAGGGTAGAAACCAAAAGCATTTGTTTAAATAATTTGAATTACTATATTAAAAATCTTAATTGTTTTGAAAAGAAGAACAAATGAATGAATTATAAATCAACTATACTTAGGAGCTCTTTGCGCAATATTACTGAAAAATCTGTTCAGAATCCAAAAGATATTTTACCGGTAATCAACTAATTTAAAATATCTCTTCAAAATTTGTAATAAAAGAAATTAGCGATATTAAAAAGGAACAAGTAAAATGCAGCTTAATTAAATAATTTACTTTATAAATTTCTTGAATTTAATTTAATCTTGAAATATAAATTGAGGATTCAATGTTATAATTAAGTATTTAATAAGGAAAAAAAAATTGTAAAAGATCAAAAAGAATAAGTTGTGATAGCTTTTAGTTGTGAAACCAATTGATTTGTCTTCATTTCTATGAACCATTAACAATATTATTTAAACCATCATTAATATAAGTTTATTAAATATAAATTTAAATATTTTAATCTTTTACAAATACATTATGTCCAAATAAGTTTTTTTATTAAGAAATAAGAGATATGTATTTGTAGTAATTAAGAGTTTCTGAAAATCTGTCTTAAAACTATAAATTATTGTATTTAATTAATAATATAGAAATATTTATATATTTATTGAATATGTTATCATCTAACACCATTACTTAGAATTTTATCAAAACTGCTTAGAATTTAGTTATTAAGGATTATATATTATAAAAGTAATTGAGAATAAGATCATAAAACTTATTCCTTTAATTGATTAATCATCAATCAAAAGGTTTTAAATCAGTCTTAAATATTTGAGAGTAGTATGAATTTGGCTCCTCTACTACTGATTTAGTTTAAAATAACAAACATGCTCTTTTTTTTTTTAACTTTGCAATTAGAGTATTCAGAAAAATGCTTAATTACATTATAAAGAAGATTTCAAGGGTTTACTAACCCTTTAATATAATTGAGTTTTTTTGATAATAATAAATTCTAAGTAATTATTTTGGTCTTAATAAATTCTTTGTCATTTAAAGCACTGATATCTGTTTATTTGAGAGATAAAAACAAATTTTCTGTCAATAATCTAATATTCTGTCTTATTATATTATCAACGAGAGAGAGTATCTAAGATAGTAAATATCCCATCATGATTAATATTAGTTCTATTGAAATTTAATTAATGGATATAGCATAGACTTTGAAATTAAGGTAGCTAGGCGAATTAAAAATTTCGGAAAAGAAATTACGACAATATGAAAATTAAATCAATTTAACAATTAGGTAATTAAATTCAATATATCCTAATATTTTTTGTATTTAAACCTTAGTTTTTTTTCAATCAATCTACAAACTAAACATTTTAGTATCATCAAATCGTGAAGAATAATAAATAAATTATTTATTTATATTTAAGTTTTTATGCTTAATCTCATTATATTTCTATTTTTAATAAAACTTATTCAAATGGATTGTTATATTAAATAACTTAAGAGGCAGACAGTGAAACTGAAGTCTTAGCTATTTTAATATATTGCTCTGAAATTTAGTTTAATTAAAACTTTGCTTATAATCTTACTATTTTAATTTTATTGGCATCACACTTGATAGTAGGAGAAGAACACCATTCATCAGTACAAAATATTGTTACATTTAAAACTTCCTTATCTAAGCATTTCCAGTAGAATATAATCTTTATAGAACCAATTTCTTTTGCTATTGTAATTTATTCTTGTAAAATTTAATTTTAAGAGTAATTTATTTCCTAAATTTCAATATGAGTATCTATTTAATCTTATAAATCAAAAAATCTAGATTATATCAAACCTTTAAATATAGCAAGTTCAAAATAAGGATCATTAATACAAAAATGATTATGTTATATCGATAAGATAATAGTTGGACCCCCTTCAATAATGATAATTGATTACATGGATATATCCCAACAGTAATTTGAGATTAATATGTCACTTTTGTTTCATATCTAATATTTAAATCAGATCCATCATGTTAAAATCCCAAAAGATTTAAATAACAATTTTTTATACCCCATCCAGAAGGAAAATTGACAACTTAACTTGATCCATCAGGTTATATGCTTGTTATAGTTGGTCCAATTAAAAAAATATCAGATCTACTCAATAATATTTGATATCCAATTTGCTTAAGGTTTTCCATATAAAAACTTATAGTCACAGTCTCTGGTGTTAATATTAATCCCTAAATTATACATATTGAATACTGTTAAATTATTAAATTAAGAACCTAGAGCGTAATAGCTTACAAAATTTGAGATTGCCACATTAATTTTACAATCCTTTTAGTAAGTATGAATGTATGAAGATTTTGGATTAGTTATATTCAAATTATTTATAACTTAGACCCTTTCATCATTAAATGCAAACCAGTTAAATTCAACTCGATAAAAACGTTCTTGACTCTCACATACTATTTTGACTTTAAATCCTATAAATAAATTAAAATGTCACCAACAGTGCTGACACTAACTATATTTAATGAATATCCTTAAGGAAATGTATATTCCAGATCAAGTCTAGCAATATTTAAGTACACATCAGGGACTTAAGAGAATTACTAATGAAAAGGAATAAAATATTCTTCTTCTCTAAATGGGGATTGACTCAAATATAAAATTAAATTTGTATTTTCTTTGTAACTGAAGTGATTCACAAACCCATATTCAAACCTATGATTAGCCATCACAATATAAACATAATAAAAGATTTACAACATAAAAAAAAATAAATTATGATAAATAAAAAGAAAAATATGTTTATAAATTTATGTTATTATAGCTCAGGTTTTAACTAAAAGATTTAACCTTTTCAATGTAAAGAATCATTTAAAAGTTTCTTAATTAAATAAAATTTCAATTATAAATATCATTTTTTGATTTTCTAAAAATATATAAAAACATTCCTTTTATTCTTAATAGGATTATTAAAGCATTCATATTTTTCAATTTATTCTCTTTTATTATAAGTAATAAATAATAATTTTATTAATAATTTAATTGTTATTACTTTGTTGCCTTGATTAATTAATTGTCTTATCATAAGTAAAATATCCCACATAAGTGACCTCCTATCTCGGCTAAATCTCATCACTTGATTCGTTTAGCTTCCCAATTTTATTACCATTACTTGCTTCATCATATAGCCGAAACCACTAAAAAATAAATCAGATTAATGTATATTTCAATTTAAAATGTTCCTTTCTTTCTTCTCTATATAAAATATCTCAAAAAGAAATTTTTTTCCTTTTCTAAATTCACTACAAAAATATTATGGAAATTATTCAAATCAATCATCGCCTTCTAAGCATTTTCCATGTTTTCACTTTATTAATTATATAATCCACCACCACTTTTAAGAACATATTGTAATATACCTTTTTCATTCTCATCAGAGCACTTATAATTTCCTTGCCTTTTATCGTTAAAATAATCTTTAATTTCATATATGTAAGCTTTTCTTAATTTTCATTAAATAAATTTCCATCTGAAAATTATTTCAGATTTAACTTTTCCATGTTATGATTCAGATACATCCATAAAGCCTTTTTTTATTTTTAATTAAGAAACATGATTTTATATTGTAATATACATCTAAGGTTTTGTAATTAAAAAAGGATTATTTGAAAAGTAGACATTCATTATTGGAAAATTATAACTATATCTTACCATAATGATCTGATTTCAACTTTTAGTCAATTTGAAAATAATTAAAATGTACATAAGAATCTGAAATGTCAAAAAAATGAAAATAGATGGAAAAATTCCAGCGACATGTGAAGTTGTAATTCTTGAAAATAATTCAGTTTAATATACAAAATTAGCTAAAAATTTATTCTTTTAGAGTATCTGACTTTAATCTAAAAAAATTATTATTAGATACTTTTTCTCATTGAATTATTCTTTATGTATGTATGTTATTCAAATATTAAGTAATNCTGAAGTGATTCACAAACCCATATTCAAACCTATGATTAGCCATCACAATATAAACATAATAAAAGATTTACAACATAAAAAAAAATAAATTATGATAAATAAAAAGAAAAATATGTTTATAAATTTATGTTATTATAGCTCAGGTTTTAACTAAAAGATTTAACCTTTTCAATGTAAAGAATCATTTAAAAGTTTCTTAATTAAATAAAATTTCAATTATAAATATCATTTTTTGATTTTCTAAAAATATATAAAAACATTCCTTTTATTCTTAATAGGATTATTAAAGCATTCATATTTTTCAATTTATTCTCTTTTATTATAAGTAATAAATAATAATTTTATTAATAATTTAATTGTTATTACTTTGTTGCCTTGATTAATTAATTGTCTTATCATAAGTAAAATATCCCACATAAGTGACCTCCTATCTCGGCTAAATCTCATCACTTGATTCGTTTAGCTTCCCAATTTTATTACCATTACTTGCTTCATCATATAGCCGAAACCACTAAAAAATAAATCAGATTAATGTATATTTCAATTTAAAATGTTCCTTTCTTTCTTCTCTATATAAAATATCTCAAAAAGAAATTTTTTTCCTTTTCTAAATTCACTACAAAAATATTATGGAAATTATTCAAATCAATCATCGCCTTCTAAGCATTTTCCATGTTTTCACTTTATTAATTATATAATCCACCACCACTTTTAAGAACATATTGTAATATACCTTTTTCATTCTCATCAGAGCACTTATAATTTCCTTGCCTTTTATCGTTAAAATAATCTTTAATTTCATATATGTAAGCTTTTCTTAATTTTCATTAAATAAATTTCCATCTGAAAATTATTTCAGATTTAACTTTTCCATGTTATGATTCAGATACATCCATAAAGCCTTTTTTTATTTTTAATTAAGAAACATGATTTTATATTGTAATATACATCTAAGGTTTTGTAATTAAAAAAGGATTATTTGAAAAGTAGACATTCATTATTGGAAAATTATAACTATATCTTACCATAATGATCTGATTTCAACTTTTAGTCAATTTGAAAATAATTAAAATGTACATAAGAATCTGAAATGTCAAAAAAATGAAAATAGATGGAAAAATTCCAGCGACATGTGAAGTTGTAATTCTTGAAAATAATTCAGTTTAATATACAAAATTAGCTAAAAATTTATTCTTTTAGAGTATCTGACTTTAATCTAAAAAAATTATTATTAGATACTTTTTCTCATTGAATTATTCTTTATGTATGTATGTTATTCAAATATTAAGTAATTTTATTTCAAATGGATTAAAAATTGCCCTTTTATGTTAACTTCCATAATCGATATCGAAATTCCAAACTAGAAAGTTTTTAAGTAAGATTTAATTTTGAAGTTTAACCTTAGAATGTGGAATTAATCAAGTAACTATTAAAATAATATCGTATAGTTCAAAAATGGAATAAAAGGTTTTTGATAATGAATAAAAAGAAGAGACTTAAGAGATATCAAGTTGGTTATGGGATATTTTAGAATGTAGATTTATCCCATCCATTTACTAAATCAAATTAACTCTAGATGACAAAATTGTTTACACCAAGATGGTGGAACCTTAAGAATGTGACATTTTATAATTTATTGATTATAATAGTGACAAAATAAAAGACACTTCAGTTAAACCAGAAGTCTTGGCAAACTTAGAATAAATTTGCCATCTTAAATTGTATGGTAAATACAGTTAGAAGGGGTAAAAGATTGGAAGATGCTCAATAAAGTGGAAGGGAGAAGATTTCAAAGAAGTAAATGGCTATTATACTGAAAATGGAAAAAAATAAGGGGAATGGAAAGATCTTATTAATAATTTTTGGAACCTGGGTATTCTTTATTAATTAAGAGTGAAGCCGAAGCTTATGAAATAGGCGAATATGTGATTGATAAAAGGAAAGGATATTGGAAAGAAATTTATAATTATAAAGAGATGTAGAATATATTAATTATTAATAATTTACAGTGGTGGATGTGTTTATAATGAATAAGGTGATAAAAATGGAAAATGGATAGAGTTAAGTGAAGATTTTGGGATTAGTCGTAAATAACTTTTTAAGGTGAATTGAAAAATGAGAAAAAAGTAGGGAGATGGTAAATTTGATATGAAGATATTGATATTTGGGGAAATAAAAATGAAAATATAGTGATGTAAATAATTAAAAATAATTAATCCAATTAATTATGAGTGTCAAATTTTTAGTAACAAATGTGAGAGCCTTAAGATTGGGTAATGGATTGATTTAGATAAGAGAGTTTATTTCAGAAATAAGTAACTTATTAAGGTTAATATAAAAATAGTAAAAATGTTGGTAGATGGGATATTTGGTTTAGGTAGTATGATGAAAAAGAGTTTAAATAAATGTAAAATTACAATAACAAGTTTGTGATTAATTATTCAAAAATATGTAAGTGGCGGAGGATCATATGATGAAAATGGAGAGGAAATTAAAATAGGAAAGTGGATTGAATTGGATAATAGGTTTTTTAATTTGAAATAAGTAACTTATAATGTGTAGATAATAATGGGAAAAAAGTTAGTACATAGGATATTGCATATAGATCATACAGCAGCGATCCATTTTTAGTAAAATACTTTAAAAATAGTGCAAAATTAATTATTTGCAAATAGACTAGTGGCAGGGGATGGTGACATTAAAAATGGGAAATGGGTAGATTTGGATGATGAATTATATAATCTCAAATAAATAATCGAAGTAGGTGAATAAAAAAATGGTAAAAAAGAGGGTAAATTGGAACAACTGGAAAGAGAATTATATAAAATCGATGAAGGATTCAAAAAAGTAAAAAAAACTACAGCAATTTCCTGAAAGCTTAAATCAGTTCAAATACTTAAGTTTGGTTTGTTTAGCTAGACAGAAAATATAAATTAAGTCTGGAGATTGAATATAAGAAAAAATGCTCACTCTGTTTTCATCATTTGACATTAATAGAAATCTTCTTCAATATAATAATCAGAACCTTTATCTTCTTCATTGAAGTTTCCCTCATCAAATTGTTCATTTTTTGAATTGAGCAAACTATTTTCACATTAAATAACACACTTCTTTTTAAATTGAAATTATTGCTGCATACATGATGAAATGTATTAACAACATCAACTGTAGTTTAATTAATATCTTTATTTTCATAATCGACTGATTTAGTTTCATTATTAAGATATATGAACTCATTATTCAATTGAAAGTTAGGCCGAAATTTCTAACCTATGCAAAATTAAAATCTTAAATCACAATTTATTTCACATTTATAATATCCATGATTAATATTCGCATAAATAACAAGATCATTAAAAATCAAATTAGAATCATAGCATTATTCTTGAATAATCCATTGCCAAAAAATAGATGACAATTTTCTAGAATGCAACCTTCTTAGCAAATCCGTCTTATATCATCAAATTATTATAATAACCTTCATTCCTATTTCTAAATATTATTTCATACAAAGTGTAATATATTTCAAATCTCTTATATAACTATTGATAGATATTTGTTCTTAAATATTTAATAATAATAAGATAATGATCATTTTAATTAATGATACTTTATACTTATTTATTTATTCATTTATTTATTTATTTATAAGACAAATCATAATTTCAAAAATTATCAAAATATCAATTTTAATATTTAGTACTAATTATTTATTAACCAAATTGATAATTTACTACTAGTTAAGAAAACCTACTAATACATCTTAATGAGAAGCTATGCTAGTAGTATATTTAAAATGACAAACAATTACATATTCCACAAAGAAACTTCTTATTTCATGATTGTCCATCCATCAGATGGTATTATCAATTTCTAATTTAATGAATATTAATGTAGTTTCCATGATTAGCAAAATTTTCAATAATTCTCTATACATCCAGGACATTTATGATAACATTTAATGATACTTAATCTTATTATTATTAATCCTCCAATTTATCATTAAATAACGATCCAAATAGTTTGTTTGTTATGCGAATGTATTATAGAGATTGAATATAATATTCAAATTGTGTTTATTCACAAAAAGAATTTGAAGGTTATGTCACTAATTCATAATTTATTGATTATTTGTCTATAAAAATTAAGATGAATTATTGTTATCAATACTTTTGAAATCAAATATATTATTACTTTAGAACTTTTGCATTCACCATAACACGAGAGTGAATTTCTAGATTTTATATATATTCTCCTAAAAATCAGGATATCCCTCTAAAATTGCTGAAATCACAAACACTAACAAAATCTTATAATTCTAAATTATCAATTTTATAATTACCACCTCTAATGTTAGAAATTGCATCAAATTAATAAATTACGGTTTGGTGAGTTATACAGGTTTAACTAATGAGCATTATCATTATTAATTGATCACAATTTTAAAATTAATTATATTAATAAAATGAATTTTTTGAGCATAAGATACAAAATTTATTATGAATTATACTACAAAAATAAATAATAAAAAACAATACTAATTAAGAATTTCATTTTATTTCTATTTTCCTATTTTGTACTATTTATTTATACTATTACAATACAATCATTAAAGAAACAATAATAGTAATTTAAAATATAATAAATCAACTATTCTCAGTATTTTGAATGATTAAATTAAGCTTAAAGATATATTAATTCTAATCCTTTAGAGGATATAAGTTAAGAATTTAAATCATAAATATGATTTTCTAACTCTTTATTGACCCACAACTTTGTACAACTACAAATCTGTACAAAGTCTTATCTTCACCTTTACAAAAATAGAACACTTTTGTATTTTTGGTATTAAACTGGGAAAAAAAAAGTAAAGTAATTCAATTAATTAAAAAAAAATGAATGGCACCAATGAATAATTTGAAGAATTGCCTAAAATTTTCGTTTAGGTTAAAGAGATTGATACAAAAATATTCAATCTTATAAAAGAAATGTTTTGAAATGAGAAAAATTAAGACTCTATCAGATATCTTACAGTTGTTAAAAATCAAAAATATCACGAAATAACCATATTACAAGTAGAAAACAAACACTAGCTGATAAGGAATAGAGTATTTATTTAAAGGGCATTATAACATTTTAAATATTCTTTTAATTGATGCTATATTAAAAAATAATGAATAATGATAATGCAAAATTTTTTTTATTCAATAATTTACTCGTTTTTTAATAATTTAATGTATTTAAGGCGTAACATATCCTTTTGCAATTATTTATTTTAATAAATGCCTATAGGTGCATTGAAACTATAAAGTATAGTTATTGTTCGCAGTTTCTTCTTTCTATTTCTATCACTTACTATAATCAGTATGGGTAGGTAGAAAGTATAAAAATTGTATTCTTGATATAAAACTTAATTCTTCTATTTCAAATGAAGAAATAAATCATTTTATAAAAATTTTCATTTTATTAATAGGGTTTATTTTTTAAAATTAAAAAATAGCTCATATATTTCTTCATTTAAGTTTAGTCTATAAATTAAAACCCTAAATTATAATTAAACAAAAGCATTATTGTACTCTTCTTTACCCAAAATCAAATCTGATTGATTAAAAAATAGTATATATATTTCTACCAACGATGATATTAATTATTGTTGTTTACAGTAAATGACTTAAAAACAGCCTAATATTAAAGTTAACTTATATAAATGTAATTAGAAGTATAATAGTTCAATATTATTCTTTTGAATATATTATTAGATTATTTTCTAAAAGTTTTATTTATTTATTTTAAAATGGATTTCTGTCAGATTGAAGTCTTATTAATTGAAATTAAGTTTCTAAAATAATAAAATTCAATAATTGTTTACTTAATTCCAAAATAAAATAATTAGTATTCATTCAGAAATGATCAACTTTTATTCTACTTAGAACTGCATTCATAACCAAGTAAGTCAGAAATGTTTTTATAGATCAACTATTTTAATAAGGTTTTATTGTTGAATTCTAGATATGATCCTTATTAAAGAAAATGGAGAGAGTTAAATTTTCCATTCCCTATTAATATAAAGATATTTTCCAAGTTTAGTAAACTTGAACAAATTAATCAATAAACTTGAATATTTGATGTTTACACATTGAGCCTTAGACAAATGAACCTAATGCTGAATTAATTTCAAATAAAATTTAACGATATCCTTACAGCGATATTCGAATTTAAAGTAAATGATGAATACCAATATTTTGAACAATAAATATTTCGCTCAATTATTTTCTTTTTTGTGAATTAAAAATTACATCAAATTAAAATAGATTTAATATATTACAGTTTCTATTCTTCTATTGTTTAAATTCTTGCAACTAATCAATATTTTGTCTTTATTAATCCATTCTCAACTTTTTCAGAAAGTAATAAAATTTTCATAAAAGATTTTAATAATTAATTTTTAATAAATATATTTCTTATATTGCATATCTGTACTATAATCTCAAATATTATTATATTTTTTAGCTGACTTAGAAATACTGTAACAATTTCCTAAAATATCACCATGATGATATTTTATAGAAAATAAACGGTCTCTACTAAAATAATCACATATAAAATTAAACAATGAGAAATCTTCTTTAAAATCTATCCATTATCCATGTTTCATTCCATCATCATCATACTCTCCACCTCCTCTATTGTAATTATATTAATGAATTTTACATTAATTAAAATTCTTTATGTTCAAACTTTCTATGTATAATATTCCATTTTCCATACTTAATACCATTTTTATATTCCCCTTCGTAAATAATTTAACCACGACTAAACTGTTGATTGAAATATTAATACTGAGAAAATAACTCGAATATTTCTTTCCAAATTCCTACTTTTACACCATTTTAATCATAAGAACCACCACCGCTTTAAATGTATAAAATTATTTTTTACATTTATAAAAATTCATTTTCTTTTTCTTAAAAATAAGCTAACCACAACCCTTTTTTAATCTCATTATCGTATTCTCCATTAAATGTGATTTTGCCTCCCCTATCTTTAACCAATTATAATTACAAGAAAAAATTTCTAAATGGTTCAACCCACTTTCCTTGTTTAAATCCAAATTTATTATAATAGCCCTCACCTCTAAGAAAAATATCTTAATATTAACATTTTTGTTTATATTTCGTTCTCCTTCATAAATACAGTCCAAACCCCTTATTTTTTGCCGGCAACATAGTCACCTTCATAGAGATTGTAGCAATAACTAATTTTTTAATTTCAATTTACTCTAAAAAATTTTCATTAACTTCTATCCATCTTCCATTTTTTTATCCTTTTCTATCATAAGGGCCACCACCACTAATGATAAGACTAGAATTTAAATTCTTACATAATTTCATTTTAATAGATAATATTCCACCTTCCAAATTTTCTTCCTTGAAATTCTCCAGAATATGTAACCTAACACAGACTATAATAAATAATAATATTGACTCCTAAAAGTTTTCATGCAGAGTTATCCATTTTCCAAATTTAGAACCTTTATTATTATACATACCACCGCCACTATATATTCAGAAATATTAACATAATAAGATTTTTATAATAAGTATCCCATTTGCCAATTTTTTGCCCACTTTAATATTAACCGATGTAAACGATTTTACAATGGCTTGTATAAAAATTAGCTAATTACTCCGAATAATTCTCATGTAAATCAACCCATAAACCATTCTTACAACCCTTATCATTATAAACCCCGCATCCTCTAAAATTAAAGTAAAGAAATAACATTATTTGATCTTTCGATAATATGTCCCAAAGTCCTTCTTTTTATCCGTAATTATAGTTTCCTTCATAAAAAGTTAAAGATTATCTTTATAAATAATAATGCTAACCTATTAAAGTTTTCAAATAAATCGATCCACTTTCCTATTTTTATACCATCCTTTGTTTAAAATCCTCCTGATTCAAATGATTCACTTCTATGTAAGGCCATCCATTTTTCAAATTCTAAATAATTATCACTTCTTCTTGTCCATTCTAAACATCTTATTTAATCTAAACTCCTAATCACATTCTATGATTTTAATTCATTTGTTATTTTTTCTCTATGAATATTATCATGTTTTAAAATACTTTTTCAATTTTACTCCATCCTTAATATGTATTATTTCTGCATCATTGGTATATTCAACTATAAAACTAGTTTTTTATAATTAATATTCAAGAAAATAAAGATTAAAGTTTGTTTACATTCCTGTCGTCTTTATTTTTCCTTCTTACCAATTTCTATTTTTATTTTTTCTTATTTTTTCACTATCATATTAATTTTTATAATACTTTAATTAAGGAAGAACTTTTAATTACTCAAATATTTTTGTTTAAAAATCTATTAAATGCTATTCTATAGGTTTTTAGATCTCTATTATTGGATTTATAAAAGATTCTTTATCAATATTCCATTTTTCTAATTTATTTTAATTAATTGATCTAATGATTAATTCCAAGTCTAGTTACGAGATTTCTGTTGGCTTAAGATAAAAATTTAGTAATCTTGAATAAATTTAATCTCCTCTATCTATTGAATTTAAAATCTCCTGAATTTATTATAATGAATCTGACAAACACTTTTAGAATTGTTCTCCTAAAATCTCCAACTACTTCTTGAATTAATTAAATTTAAGTCTTAATTAAAATGTTTTTTCTATTGTTGTATCTACTAAGTTTTTTTATTTATTTAATATGTAATCCGGGAAATTAGAAATTGGAATCAATTATTCTTAGGAAACTTGTTAATTATGAGCACATTCATAACAAAGCTTCCTTTAACATTAGTGATTTGCAATGCAAATATTAAGGATTTTATTTTCTAAATGTTCTAAGCAATACATATTATTTTCAAACATATTTAATAAAATATTTATATATGATGAATAAATATGTAATTTAATTAACTTTAATCAATAATTATTTTGAAAAATTAGAACTTCAAGTTATTTATCTTCCGAATATTTTACAATAATCACCTGGATTTTACATTTTTTACTGCAAACTAAAATAAAAGTTATTCATAAGAGGATAGTGGAGATAAGCGAGCTCTAATCACAAAATAATTAATAATATCATAAGAATAGCACTTGGCACATGAGAATGTAAATTATGGAGCACCATTTATTGAGTATCTGGTTAAATTTTTCTATAACAATTATACCTTTAATAAGTTGAATGTAATGTAAAAGTAAAACCTTTTATATTATTTCTTATGATAATAATTTATGAATTTAAAATGAATGATCATATGAATAGATAAATAACTATTTCCAAAAGGGGTTTAAATTACAAATGAATTTGAATTCAATCTCATCCCATTATAGACCACATTTTTTATTAACATCTTGAATATATTTTAATCAACGTATTATATGATTTACTATTAAGTTCATGATGTTAGTTAGATCTCATAAATGCAAATTTAAAACCAGCTATAAAACTTATGAAGTTTCATTCTCAATTAATAATGATTATTAAGAAAAAAAATAAATGTTTCAGGATAATCCTTTGAATTCTGAATGAAAATTAAAAAATACCTTGATATTTTATTTCTTTTGTTAGATTACTATTTTTGTAAGAAAAATGATGTCAGCATAAAACACTAACATTTCAGTAAACATCTTAAAATATTTTAATTCTTATTGTTAATGAAGGATTGAATTAATTATAATTAAATAATCCTTGTCTTAAGCTTGTGTTCTAAAAAATAATAAAGCTAAAATCCTATAACTTTTATGCAAGATTGAATCAACCATAATAAATATCTTAATTTAAATGAGCCTAGAAACTTTGATTTCTAATCAATAATTACTATTAAATCTAAAATTATGTTTGAATTAAAATATATATTGTATTTATGAATTACTAGTATAAAAAAAATATTAATCCTGCCATTAAAAATAATCACTGATAGAAATAAAGTCTTGACTATTAGAAATAATACATGTAAATTTTGAACAAATCACTTTATTTTTCATTTTATAAAGCTTTAGAAATACAAATAATGACTCAGAAAAAGAAATAGCTCAATAATACTA